CCGCTTCCTCCTTCTCCTCACAAAAACCCCCCCCCGCACCGGACAAACTGTCCCCGCTGCCAATCCAAAAATCGTTTAGATCAAAGAAAACCCGTGCAGCTGCGTCACACTGCTTCTTTCAGTACAATATTTACCCCAATAGCTCACTAACAAACAATAGTTTTAATTTATCAAATAAAATAATTACTCAATTTTGTGACCTTTATATTTTTCAACTATTAAGGGGAAACATACCCCTTTTATTCCGTTCAGAAAAAAGAATACTAAAAAAAATTGTTTTCCCCAAAGTTTTTTGATAAAAAAGTAATTTTCTTTTTTAAAATACTTGTTTCCCTTTTTTTTAAAATATGTTAAAAAATTTAAACCCTTAAAAAAATGTACTACCAAACCCCCAGTTGTCACGGGGGTTTCATACCTTAAAAAAGCCATTTTTTTAATTTTCAGCTTTTTTGCCCCCAGCCCCAAAACTACATCCGGGTTCAACAAAAAAATTTTAAAATTCAAAAAGGCCAAAAAGTTAAGTTTTTGCATTTAACTTTCCCGAAAATTTAGTTAAAAAAAAAAACAAACCCCCAGTTATTTAAATGGGGGCTCCTGGCTTTGGAAAAAAATTTTGGAAAAAACTTTTTCCAAAAGATAAAATTTTACAAATATTTGGGCAAATATCTTTAAATTTTCAATTTTTATTTGTAAGCACTTTTATAGATTTTCTTTTCCCATTGCTGGAGAACCCCCTTTAATTCGGGCCCCCAGTTTTTTTTCATTTTCCCGTGCCCCTTTTTTTATTTTGCTCCAAATTATTTTGTTGACTAGAGAGCTTTCTACAGCCTGCAGCATATTTAGCCCCAGCAGGGTTTTAAATCTCCCTCTTCCCCTCTGAGCGGGAGAAATATTGGAACCCCCTTTGGGCCCCTTTTTTTGGGCCCTCCCCTGCCCAAAAGGGGAAAAGAGAAGGAAAAAAATATAATTGGCTAAAAATTTCCCCGGGGGGCAGGCCCCCCCCAGAGAAATTTTAGCCATCTTTGAGTCTATCAGTAAAAAATTTTTTTGCAAATTTTAAAAGCCCGGGGGTCTTTAGGAAACCTTTTTCCTAAAACTTCATCCAATTCCCCCAAAAAAAATGTTCCCAAAACAAAGAAGGGGGGGCATGGGTTGGGACAAAAACCTTTTTGGAACTAAAAAAGCCAAAGGGCAATCCCAAATTTAGGTTTTGACATAATGGGCCGGGAAAACCCAAATCCGTTAATTTGTCTTTAAAATATTAAAAAAATGGGGATTTCTTTTTCCTTTTTTTTTATGTTTGGCATAAGCCCCAAAATGGCTTTTCAAATTATTAAAAAAAAAGAGAGCAAAAAAACCAACAAAGGGCGGACCCCCCCCTTCAAAAAAAAAAAAGTAATTTTCCCCATAGAAAAAGTATCAGGGAAGAAAAAAGTGTCCCCTGTGTTTTTAAAAAAAGAAAACAGCTGTGAAAACATCCCCCTGGCTTTTTTGCAAAGGGGTTCTTTTCGTTTCCCCTGCATAATTTAATATGTTCTTCCTGTACCTCTCCACCTTCCCTCCACAGTCAGGGATTTTTGTTACAGCCAAAACACATTTTTCCTTCATTTGAAAAAGTTAAAAGAGGCTTTCCAAAGTTGTTTTCTATGGGGTAAAATTTTAAACAAAGTCCTCCCCTTTTTTAAAGGAAACTTTTCCCATTTTTCAATTTTAAAAAAAATCTTGGGAAAAAACGAAATAAAACCCTTTTTTTAAAAGGCCCCCAAAAATAAAAGGGGAAAAGGGGTTTTGGGTTAAAAACCCAAAAACAACCAAAAATATTTTAAAAAGCCTTTTTTTTTTTTTTATAGCTGTAAAAAAATTTTCTCTTTTTTTTATTTTAAGCCTCTTTTATTTCCCAGAAATTTTTCCATTTAAAAAAAAGAAAATTCTGGGGGGAATTTTTAATATTTATCAAAATGCAAGGGGTAAGGTGCTGCTGTTTTTTTAGTTTCCCCGTGGGGAAAAGGGAAAGGTCCGTTTTAAAAGGGTGTTTTTAAAAAACTCCTCGCCCCACACAAAAATTTTAAAAAAACTCTTTTTTTTTTTGTAAAATTTAGAAAACCTTTACCCAAAAGGAAATCCAATTAAAAAAAAAACCTTTTTAAAACCTTTTGCTTTCAAAACGAAAACCCTGATGGATATTTTTAAGGGGGCTCTTTCTTTTTAAAACAAACTAAATTGTTTCCCGTTTTTAAGGGGAAGATGCCAAACCTTTCTTGGGTTTTTTTTGAATTGGGAAAAGAAAGGGGAAACCTTCCAGCAAATGGGCCAATTTTTGGGGTGAAATTTAAATTTTACCCTTTACCCAAATTAACAGGAATTTCGGGGGTTTTTACCCCGGAAATGGGGTTAAAATCTTTTTAATGCCCCCTTTTTTTTAAAGGGTCCTTTGAAATTTTAAATTCTAAATTTCCAAAAAGCCTATTTATATCTAATTTTACATAATAAATTTAATATAAATATAAAATTTTTATATATATTATATATATTATTATTTATATATATATAAAATTATATAAAAATATACATGGGAAACAGTTACTATTGATGTAATTTTATCCCGATGAAATTGTTTTTTTTTAAAAATTTTTAATGCCCAATTTAAAGAATTTTAAAAAGCCAATTTTAAAGGCCTTAATTTCAAAAAATAATTGGGAAAAGACTTTTAATGACCCCGGGAAAACCCTTTAAAATTTTTAACCCTTTTGCATGGGGGAATTGGGTCTTTTCCGGGAGGCCCTTTTTTTTTAAAAAAGGGGAAAAGGGTCATGTAGCACCTAAAAAAAAAAAAAAGGTTTCAGGGGCATGAAAAAGCTTTTTGCCCTTTTAGGAGTACTGAACCCCCAAAAAAAAATTTTTGGGGTCATGGTGGAGTAATCTGCAGCTTTCACAGAGGATCAACATGTGCAGAACAACGCTTTTCTTTTTCCTGTTGACCTTTAAATTTTGGTTTTAAATTTTGTTCCCATTTTTTCCCACAAAAGAGATTTTACCCTTTTTTAAAAAACAGCACAAGTTTTAAAAAACCAGCATTAGACCCTTTTTTTTTACAGATTTTTAACCTCTATACTCATTTTTCTTTGTCATTTTTAAAAAAGGTGGAGAAAATGAATTACCCACAAACTGCAAAACAAATTTAAAAAATAAAAATTTTTAGCCCGAAGTTTTTTTTTTTTAAATCGCAATTTTTGGACAAACCCTTTTTATTTTCCCCCTCGATTTAATTTGGGGGTTTTAAATTGCTTCAGAAACCATTTGAAAAAAATACAGTATTTGGAAGTTTTTTGGCTCGATTAAATTTGTTGTAGTTCAAAGATCTTTCCTGTTTTCTACAACAATGTCCCCATGAAGTATAGAGTTTGCTTTAGGGCTTCACCAGATTGCTGGGCAATTTTTACCCAAAAATTTTAAAGATTATTTTTCTTAAAAATTGCCCCCCCTTTACACCAGTCAGAGCCCCCGACAGTCCCCCCGACACACCAAGTTTTTCCTTGGGCTAAGGGTCTGGATGCCGGGGGGTTTTGGAAAAGAGGAATTGAAACACAAAAAAAAAAAAAACCCTTTTTGTTTTGTTGTTCTTTTATACCAATTTTAGTTTTTACAATGCAAACCCTAAGAGTCAATGCAAGAGATTGTTCTGCCATTGCCGGGAAACATATTAATAAATATATGTTTACATTTGCCAAAAAGAGCCCAACAGTGTAGCAGTATGGCAATTGCCATATTGCTACACTTGTTTCATGCATATAATTTGCTTTATTGTAATTATGCAGGGAGTTTTACAGTTTATACGGACACTGCAATGTAAATAGAGCAGAAAAACAGAAGAAAAGGAAAAAAAAGAGAAAAGATGAAAGAAAGAGGAGATAGAAAGGAGACAATGACAAAACATTTTCAGTCTGCTTCATCATCTGTAACGAGATGAAAAAAGAACAGCACAACCGAAAGAAATACGAGATATACAATAAAGCAACACCTTGAAACTATCGCTGAAGTCATATTATTAAGTCTGACATGTACTCTGTGTTACCTGAAGATATAATTGTGGGCTTTCTGTATGGAAGTGAATCTCTGAGTACCTGGATCCAAGCACCTCTTCTCTTCCAGAAGCCTATATGTGCATTTTGGAGACATTTATGCATTCTGTTGTTTGTTTAACACCACATAGAAAAGCAACACCTGCTGGTCAGCACCACCTAGCTATCGCGTCTCCAATCGGAAGCTAGCTATACCAGCTAGAAAAGATATTAATCCACTTCAGTTACTTGGTTGATTTAATGGTCTGAACTCAGTGACAATGCAGTTTTACATTTTTGAATTTTTTGATAAATGTCTATAAACATGGAGAATATGACAATGGAAGAATATGAAAATAAACATGGAGAGGTACTGCAACTGTGTGAAGACAGCAGATGGATATTTATTTAATGAAACACTTATTTACTCTTGCAATTAGTTTGGTAATATGGTTTACAAAACAAAAAATGCAACAATTGGAGCTGAAATCATATTTTCTTGCTGAAAAAACATACTAGTAACTGAAACTACATTTGGCAGATTGGGACACTGATCTGCTGAGAGTAGGGATGCAAAACTGTGTGGTATCACTGATAATAGGGATTTAGACATTTATTACACAGAAGAAAACTTTAAATTTTGACAATAAACCAGACTAAAGATGTGAATATCTATGAGATCCAAGTAATCACAACGAGGAATTCCATTGTCAGAGTTCATCTTTGTTGAATTCCTCATTCCTTAATCCATTGTTGAATTCCTGAAATACTTTAAATTTAGCCAAACATTTACATAAATAGACAAGTTAAACAGTCCTTGATTTAAATGTTTGAAACACGCAGACCAGCAAAGTCTCAGCCTAACAGAGAATGATAGAAAACCATACAGGATAATTTTTAGTGTTCAGTTAGATTTACAAGGAGTTTAGCTTTTTCACTAACCTTTGCCTTTACTCCTCCTCCTTCTCCTCCTTTTCCTTTTGGACCTTCTGTGCACATCACCATCTGAACGGTCCATATTCCTGCTGCACATCCCCTGCACCGGTGCCATCCTGCTGGTTTCCAGCAGTTTGCCCTTTACTGCCCAGGCATGCCTCAGAGAACGGCAGCAGCAGCTGAGTTCTCCCCTCCTGCTTCTGCTGCTGCCGCCAGTTTTAAGGGGCAGTGACATCATGAGATGAAAGGGGGATGTGCCTGTTTCCAAACTCCAGAGCAGAAATGTGTTTTCTTTAATCTCTTGGTTTCTGCCCATCGAAGTTTCACTTTTTTGCTCTGTGGACTTTCAGTTGCTTTAAAGTTGTTTTAAATTATTCTATTTTTTTCCTATTCCACAAACTTCCTGACACCAGAAGCAGTAAAAATAGTAGTAATAATTTTACTGTTTTTGCTTAAGCTCTGGACTACTCTAAATATGAAGCCCCCTCCTGACACAACACCAAATCACTCCTGTACATTATAGCAGCTATGCAGAGGTGGAAAGAGTAAATAATTGTCTAATTAAATGTGGTAACATAGATACATGTTTGACTCAAATGCAAGTAATATTACCAGTGCAAAATGTTTCTTAAATAAAAGTAAAAATCTCCCGGGTAAAATTTTGTTAATTTGTAACCAGGGGAAAAAATCTCCTGGTCCTTTTTTAAAGGGAAAGAGGAGATACTAACTTAAAAAAATGCCAAAAAATGTCAACAAGCTTATTTATATAGTGCCTATTCACAATACCTGTTTTCTCAAGGTAATTTACATTTCGCATTATACATATATATATATATATATATATATATAAATATATTTTTCTTTTCGGGGGGGGTATTATGTGTATCTGCTGTATTTACGGTTATCAGAAGCTGTTAATTTTTTCCTATCTCAGCACCATTCTTTTTCATATCAAAACCTAAATTTCCCTCCCCGTATCTATCATGCTTCTCTGTGATCTTCCCTCCTCAGAATTTGATGGTTCTGATTTTCAACCCATCCTTTTACATTTAGAAAAAAAAGAACCAAATTATACCTTTTAGGGTACAAAGGCTTTCCACCGGGATGTATCCTCCAAGGTTCTACCATTGTACCCTCAACAATGGGAACTTATCTGTACCCATCTATAGATTGTTTAGAATTGTACCTTTGGTGACAATCTTCTACCCTATTAGAAAAGTATAAAATACTGATAAATTCACACATCTTCCCATCATTGATAAATTCACCCATCGTCATGCTGGGGCCAGGGCTTATCTCCGGCAGTCTGTGGGCAAAAGCCATGGTACGAGGCAACAAAGAGACACGCTACCATGCACACACAGGGAAAATTTTGAGATACCAAATTAACTAACATTTATGTTTTTGCACTGTGGGAGGAAGCTAGAGTACCCAGAGATAACCCACACATGAAGAAGGAGAACATGCAAACTCCATGCAGAAAGACCCGAGGCAGGGAATCAAACCCAGGACCTTCTTGGTGCAAGGCTGCAAACTGCACCACAGTGAATCCCATACAAAGGAAAACAACAATAATCAATATTTTTATTATATTTATTTTCCTTGAAAATGGTTCTACCATAGCCATTTATTGTAAAATCTACATTTAATTTGTTGCCTTCTAATTTGTTTTAAACATTTTTTCTTTTCTTTTGTCCTTGTTCTAAAAGTGTACAAAAAACACCTTAAAGTTCAATTATAAGCCCTACAATGGCTACACAAGTTCAAAATGTACCCTCGGGTAAAGAAAATGTACTCATGCAGTACCTCATATGAAATAGGTTTAGATAACACAATCTTAGGTAAAAGCTTAGCCCACTATTTTCAGCTTACACCAATACGAATTATAGTGACAAGCAGCATGTTAAAGCGAATGCATTTGAAATTTCTCCACTTTTATTAGTTACATGACTTAGCTGTGATTCAAATTAATAATAAATTAGAAACCTTTTGAAATGTTGGTCAGTAAAGAGGTTTTCAATGCAGAAAACCTTCATTTCCTTACTGTATATTTATATTCATTATTTTCTAGATTGTTTTGAAGCCTTTAACAATGCATGTAGCCTATCTGCTTTTGTTTTTTTTCTAACTAACTGTTTTTTCAGGTTGATAAATGATACAGTACATGACACCAGTCTCTTTACTCCCCTGTTTGCATAACAATACCATATTTGCATAATCTTCCCTCCTGGTTCATGGCACCCTCGCCGCCAATGATCAGGAGTTGCTTAATACTTGTCAATCATCTTCCACAAGTTGATAATCTCAAAGTGTTTCAAGAAAAGATACTAATCGGAAAATAATTTTACAAAATTTCCTCAAAAAACTTTGGAACTCACTTGAGTTTGCTTTTTTTCAATTTCTAGAAAAAGAGTCAAAGCACTAAAGAGGAAGTTGAGGACGTTGCAAACCGTTACCCCACATGACTGATCATCTGTTTCTGTGGCTGGCGTCTTGAAGGCAGACATTAGAATTATCTCACAATGTCTCTTTATGTTATTTACCATTACTAATATCAACTAGCACTATAAAGTAAGACATGTGAGTACATGGTTTGCATTGACTGATTTATTAGCTCCAAGTGGCAGCCTAGTGGTTAGGGCATAGTGCTTTGAATCCTGAAGTTGTGAGCTCAATCCCCCACTCCCACAGACTGCCACTCTGGCTCCCTGAGCAAGACCCTTAACCACAACACTGAGGCTTTCTACAAGAACGGTCAGAAGGGTCAGAGCACAATCTTCCTGCTGAGGAGACTGAGGTCTTTTGGAGTGCAGGGGGCACTCCTGAAGACCGTCTGTGACTGTTTACTTCTTAGTTGTGGCATCAGCCATCTTCTGTGGAACTGTTTGATGGAGCATTGGCATAGCTGAGAGGAAGCAGTTGGATAAGCTGATTAGGAAGGCCAGCTCTGTGATTGGATGCCCCCTGGACTCGGTGCAGGAAGTGGGAAACAAATAGACCCTGGCTACATTAACATCTCTGTTGGATAATGTCTATCACCTATGCATGAAGCTGTTGCTGAACTGGAAAGGTCCTTCAGTGGCAGAATGTTGCACCCTAAATGTACCAGGGAGGACCAATATCTTCACATTTTGGACTAAGAAGACAGGTGGTTTGAAAGGGGTGCGAAGTTTATGTCAAGAGTGAAAAACCAACCTTAAACCGAGGAGGAGGACTCAGGTTTCAGCTCTTGAAAACCTATCATGCAGCTTTAGAGTTGATTCCTTCCCACTATCACCTCAATCCTCATCACCATACAGGGGACCAAAACAGTGCTCCTGTAAGCCAGGCCAACAACGACCCTAAAGGCTCCCCAATACAGAGGCATGGGCCATTTTAGGTTTAATTGGCAGGCAAACAATGACCCCACTTCTCCCCATTACAAGAGGCGGATCTATTTTGGTTCAATTTGCATGTTTTCTAAGCCATAACAAGGCTTTTGTTGGGGAATTCTATAAAGCTTGGAGCTCAACATTACTCCAGACATTTTAATTTGAGAAAGCTTTCTGGATGGGTAGCAAAACATGTTCAAACTTGGAAAAAAAAAAGTCCAGTGGTTTTTGTTTTTAACTTTCTTTGGAATTACATTCATGCTGATTTTTGCTGATTTCACGCTGCTGTCTTTTTTGCACATCTGTGGTGTTGCTGCTATTTTCACATATTCATTTTCTGTAAAAATGTCCACAGCTGTATATTGATTATTCATTTTTCAGATGACTGTACAGTATTTATATCATAAAAAAAAACACTTTACAGTATAGTATCTTATGTGTCTGTCTTTAAACTATCACTTATTCTGTTAATCCTATAGACTGTTTATGGTCCACATTTGTGTGAACATATTTGCTATGTTTTGCTGCTACAATTTCCCCATTGTGGGACAATAAAGGTATTTTCGGTTCTAATAAAAGGCTAAATGTTGTCAGTGGGGAACAGGCAACTAAGAGGCACATTACCTGAAGTATTTACAGGTAAATATTTTATAATATTTTCATGTAAAGAAAAGTTATTTTCAAAACCAGAAAGGAGTGTTGGAAAATGTAAAAGATGAAAAAAAAAGCCAGTTGCCAACCGTATAGGCAGCTAAACACAAAAGTTATAAATGGGAGCTACTGGTTGTTCATCTGTTCAAAGCTTACAAACAATTCCTCGTAATTTTGCCATACTTTTTTCTTATTTTGCCAATAATAATTAATTGCTTATGTTTAGCTTGGAAAAAGCTTATGTTGGTTAATTAATTACAAATGTGTGTGCCAATTACCTTTATGGAAGGAAAAAAACTGGCATGGATTTTAAATATTGATACACTTCCTGGTTATATATGTGATAAAAAGGACATATATTTTCAAATGGTATGTACTTATATAGCGCTTTTATTCAAGTCAGGAGACTTGACCAAAGCGCTTTACACTACATTCATCCACCCATTCACGCACACACTGATGGTGGCAAGCTACATTGTGGCACCACCGGGCCTTCTGGCCACCATCAGTAGACAATGCAGGTGAAGTGTCTTGCCCAAGGACACAACTGAAAGTCGGAGTCGGGGCTTGAAACGACTCCGACCGTCAATCCTTAGATTTCAGGGCAAACTCCTACATCCAACGCCACTGTTGCCCTATCCTAAGGCTGCTCTCCTTCATGTTCTACTGTATATTCTTAACTGATTTTGTAACTGTAAAAAGCATCAGACACAACTTCAACTCAAAGCCAACATTACTATCTCCATTTGCTGTATCAGACAAATAAATAGCTAAAAATCATACATTTACATGTGGTTTCTGGATTTTTTTTTTTAGATCATGTCCCTCAATTTCATACCCCTCCGTGAATGTTAAGTGGGGAAACTTGCAAAATAGCAGGGTGTTCAAATACTTATTTTCCCCACATTAAAGATGTCCATCTGTGGCATTGAAAACTATTTTACTGACTTGTGGGAAGAAAATCTTTGTCTCAGTGTTTGTTGATCACACTAAATGCTTCATTAAATGCCTCGGGTAATATTTTGCTTTGCTGTGTAGCTTTTGAAACTATCTTGAGTTTGTCAGAGCTTTGTTTTCACTAGCTTGCAATTCTAAACCTATTGGCCACTTATGCCCCTGTGGCCCACTGGTGGCCAGTCTATGGTTAACAGGTTCATGAAT